CTGGGGGGAGTATATGGCAAGCTTATACTGTAGCCAGAAGTTCTCTGTGAGCATCTTAGCCCTGTTATTTGCATCTGAATTCCAAGTGAAGAGGAGAGCTTTGTAGTGAAGAGCAGAGTTCCTGTATTTAGAAAAGCCAGAGGACTTCATCCTGATCCTGTGTGTGGCGATTCACTGCCACCTTTTTGCCTAAATACTGTGGGAATTCCATTTTTTCAATGTAAATACAGTTTCATAATAATGTTTCACTCCTGCGTTTGGGGTGTTTTGAAGAGTGTGGCCAGCAGTCTGAGGGAGGTGATCTTCCTTCTCTACTCTGCCATAAGGCCACATCTAGAATACTAGATACAGAATACTGTATCTAGTTCTGGGCTTTCCAGTTCAAAAAAGACAGGGATCACCTAGAAGTAGTCCAGCAGAGGGCCACAAAGGTGATAAAGGTCGTGGAGCATCTCCTGTATGAAGACAGGCTTAGTAACCTGGATCTGTTCAGGCTGGGGAAAAGAAGACTGAGGGGAGATCTGAGTAATGGTTACAAATATCTAAGGGGAGGTAGGAGACAAATGGATGAGGCCAGGCTCTTCTTGTTGGTGTGTAGCATTAGAACAAGGAACAGCAGCCTAAAATTTGAACATAGGAAGTTCCATACTAACATGTGGAAGAACTTCCTTATGGTAAGGGTGATGGAGCCCTGGAACAGGTTGCCCAAAGAGGTTGTGGAGTCTCCTTCTATGGAGATATTCAAGACCCATTTGGATGCCAACCTGTTGTAGGGTGCCTGCTTTAGCTTAGCGGGGAGGTTGGACTCGATGACCTGTGGAAGTCCCTTCCAACCCCCGATGTTCTGTGATTTCTTCTGCCATGACTAGGTAACAGATGAGGAGCAGGAATGCATTGAATCTATACTTTTCCACCACAGGTTTGCAGATTGGTTGAATGTCCTTTAGGGTGCTTTAATACTTGCTATAGTTCTGCAACTGATTTACTATCTGAATCCAAACTGGATCTGCTGTTTGAGTAACATTTCTGTAGACGCAGTTTGGTAAGTTGCTGTGTGATTTCTTGTCGTTTTCTGAGTGTGGCCTTTAGTTCTTCCCCCTTCCACCCAGTGTGTGGTCTCTCCATTGCTTAGGTTCTGGAGTCCTGGGCTAGAGAGGACTTGCCAATTCCTTTTAAAATAACCAACTTTTCCCTTCCCTTTCCCTTGGTGGATTGTACTAGCAAGGCCAAATGAGGTCAGATGATCCACAGGCGTCTGTTTCGTTTTTTATTGCTCTTCAGCCATCTCCTGATATCCAAGTAATTTTTTTATTATCCTGAACCCCATTTCAGCCAAGTGTGACAGAAGGATATAGACTGGAAAGATAATGATGTCCTTGACAGCTTCTCAAGACTGAAGTTACTGAATGAGCCAAACAAGCAACTTCTTTTAAATAAATGGGAGTCTTTTCATGTACAGATCCACTTGAAAAATTCAGGCCTGTGCAACAGAAGACACAGTGATGCAAAAAGAAGAGGAAAGCCTTTATCATAGCAGTCATGTAACAGGAGTAGGAACTACAGAAATGTTGTGAATAGTGCAGCAAATGTCTTGAATCTGCCACAGGCAGTCATGAACCAGGTCTGTTACTTGTGAAAGGGCCGAGGACCTGAAGAAAATGGATAGTCTCATTACGTTAAGGGTATTTCCAGAGATCACTGCAGAATGGGAAGGTGCATTTTTGCTCAGGAAGAAATGACTGTGTTTTCCACAGGAACTTTGTGAGAAATGATCAAACAACACTTGCCTGAAAACCTCAGGAAAACTTTGCCAGGGGACAGAAGGGATGTCAAGTTGGAAATAGAGCAGAAATTCCGTAATGAGGGTCTCAAGAATTGGAGTATGTGGCTTGGATTAAGCTATTATTAATTCCTCATTTTTCTTCTGTGTTTATTTACAGCATATGAAAAATTTCGTATTTGGAATTGGAACTTAGAAAATAGAGTTCTATTTGGGAGCAAGGTCTGTGCCAACTAAACTGCTAGCTGTGTGGATAGTGAGTCACTGTGGGATTTGAAACATTCCTTTATCTTTTCAGGGTATCCACTGTGAATGTGAATTTGGGTTGGGATTGGTTGGTGCCTGTATTATTATGCCTATAGCAAGTATGCAGGACTGCATTTGGATTTTGTTTGCTGTTTTTTCCTTCCTTCAAGAGTAAATAAATCAACATTTTAAAAAAGAGATGTATAAATCCTGTTCTCTGTCTGGTGTTCCAAGAGGAGGAGGAGGTATGAAAAGGTCTAAGAGGAAAGTTTTCAATTAAACTATGTGTAATTGTCCAAGCACTACTTGCGTTAAACCATGTCCCTAATGGTCTCTCCCTCTTTTTGATGGGGTATCAGGATGTTTTGGATAAACTAAAAAAAGCATTTTCCAGAAGTTTGACTTTTTTTTGTGATCAGTCTAGCTCCTTTCTCTTCTAGATGTCATGAAGCATTAAATACTGCTTATGATTGGACAGTGGTAGCTCAGGTGCTTTGGGCCCTCTTGTCTTATGGACAAGGACCCAGCTGCAGTGGCTGAGGAGCGTGTTGGTCATTCCTGAAATTGAGCTGCTGCCGTGTTTGCCACCACTTGGAGCTGTGATCAGAAAAGTTCAGGGATTTGTGCCATTCAAAGTGCCAGAAGCTCCAGTTTTGCAATTCGTAGTCTGAGGTCTCTCTGGAAGAGTAAGGCTGTGCTGAGAGGTTATCCATATTTAGAAATTGTAGAAGGACATAATTCTGAAACCTTAATCTGAGTAGATCTTCAGCGATGATAAAGGGTAGTTGAACGGCTGGCCAGAAACTTTATAGTCTCCAAATCACAGGAACCACAGAACATTCTGAATTGGATGGGACCCACCAGGTTCATTGAGTCTAATTCCTGGCTCCATCCAGAACCACCCAAAATTCAAACTCTTTGTCTGAGAACCTTGTCCAAAGTCTTCTTGAAGTCCAGCAGCTTGGGGCCATGACTACTGCCCTGGGGAGCCTGTTCCAGCCTCTGGTGAAGAACCTTTCCCTAACCCCCAACCTGACCCTTCCTGACACAGCTCCATGCTGTTCCCTGGGGCCCCATCACTCATCAGAGAGCAGAGCTGTGCCCATCCACTCCTGTGAGGAGCTGCAATCGCCAGCTCTAGGTCGAACAGACCCTGGGAAGTCTTAAGAATTGGGCATCTCTTTGTGTCTAAGTGTTATGGCCATGCTTTCTCAGCAGCAGTTTGGCTGGCTGGTGTGTCAAATGCTAATATGCAAATGCTAATATAGACTTCTTGCTTTGGTGACAGTTGTGGAATTTGTTCTTGGAGCATTTATTTTGGTGTTTTTGTTTAAAGACTTAGGGTATGGCACTGCATCAGACCTTGTGCTTAAACTGAATTATTTAGCTGAAATCAGTCTGCATCAAAACTCCAGCACAGAAGTTTCTCTTTGAAGTTTTGTTAAGAATTAAGGGTCTCAGGTGTCTTGGCTGTGGTTTTGCACTGCCGGTGTTGTTGAGCATAGGAGCTACTTCAGGGTAATTTATCAACCTGTTTTTCTACAAAGTAATGGTTCACATTTTCTTTCCAAGTGAACCTTGGATTCTCTTCAGAAAATGTGGTAGGTGAATACATCAGTGATACATCCTACTTAACTGAAAACTACTGGTATAATAAAAATAAATAACAGTTAAAAATGCGGGAGAGGAAATTGCAGGAATTTATATGGGAGGATACTAAATCAAGCGTGAGTTACAATTGCTGTGGTTTAAGGCTGTCCCTTTCACATTAGTGCTCATGCTTTTTGTCCCCATTTGGTTTGTGTATAATATATATATATATTTTTTCCCCCCTGTATTTCTTCTGTTGTCCCTGACTTTGTCCTGGCCTCATAAAACTGTCCATTTTGGTGTATTAATCCACATGGCTACGTAGAAAGACTGCCTGCTACTGTGATATCCAGATCTATCAACATCTCAAAACCCAGGAGCTGCAAACGCATCTTCTATGTTTGGTATAAAGGAGGGAGAGAAGGAGCAGTTCACTCCAAAGTCCTTCAGTTAGCTGGCTTCTTTTCTGTTGTTCTCCTGTAAGTGGTCCACAGATGGCATTATGGCGTGCTGGCGATGTTCCATGCTCACCTCCCTGCAGTCAGCCAGGCTTCTGTTTTCAGGGGACTTCCTAGTCCATGATGCATCGCAGAAAATGAAGTCATGCTAAACTGAGGGGAAAAAAAAAAAAGAGGGACAAACAAGCAAACAGCTAAATTAATTCTGGGCTGATGATAGCACAAGACTGAATTGGCACTTGCCTTGAGCAATGTAGTGGAAGCATCTGCATTACTCTAGCTGAGGGCAGCGTTCTCTTCTCCCTGCCATGAAGAGTTGCTGTGCAGTGAAGTAAAAAAAAACAGGAAGTACTTGGGATCAAATGAGATTCTATAATCGCTTCTTAACCACATTTTGATGTTATTGTTAGTATTTAGTGTTATGAATGGCTATGTGAGTGCTGTGAAATAGATGCAGTTTATGTCCTGGGGAGCTTTATAATAAAAGCTGTATGATGGAGAGTTGTATAGTAAGAGATGGAATTCACGTTCCTTTTGCACCTAGTTTCACATAAATTGTGCTAACTAGAGGAACTGTTAGTTACAGTGTTTTTTTTCTGAATTTGACTTTTGCAGCTTTAAAAATGCTTTAATGAAGATCTCTTATGTTTCCTATTATTCTCACGTAGACACTAACTCACTTCATATCTGTGTATTCCCCTTTTCCTTCTCCAGGTGTTTCCTGATTCCTTGTAAACCTGCCTTTGCCCGCTTTGGTCTCCAGTTCCCAAATTCTTCAAACCTGCTGCCATGTTCATTATCCCTGTCCACCTTGTATTCTTCGCTTGCAGGCTTCCCAGAGCAACCTGTGCTTTTACTGAAATGTCTTTAACCTTTGTAAGACGTTTCCCTAATGTTTGCAATCTTCTGTGCATTTCTTCTCTCAGCAAAAGCCAAGTCCAAGTGTGGTGCCACCTTCTTCCCCTGTGCCAGTGGAATCCACTGCATCATTGGCCGCTTCAGGTGCAACGGCTTTGAGGACTGTCCTGATGGCAGCGATGAGGAAAACTGCAGTAAGTATCAGTCTACTTCCCAGTTAAGGCATTTTGTTTTCTTTCAGCTAATCATAGACAGGAACACTAGTTAGCTTTAGTTTGAGTCGGATAACCTGGTTGATCTGTGTGCCTCTTTCTTTTTTTTTTCTCTCAGAGAATCTCTCAGTAGCATCAAATGTTGATAGTGTTAATAACAGTCAAGTCTGCCTCAACAGGAAATGTAAACTTTGGTACTCCTCTCAGAAGAGTCTCTTCGGCCTTAGTGTTGTCAGATGCAGGCACTACCTCCTCCGATATGTTTCAGGGCTTTTCTTTGGTTGTTTTCTTGGTTGTTGGTTCAGAATCTCGGGTGAGAGTTCTGCAGAAGAACGATCATCTTTACAATAAGCAGTTTGAGAGTAGTGGTAGCGTGATATCCAATGTCTTTGCAAACCACTGCACTTCAAAATGGCGGATGGCCTGACTAAGGCAGGCAAAGTTTCACCTGCTTTCATCTTAGTTTTGGTTGTGTCCAGTTTTCACTCACTCATACACAAACACAGCGTCGTTTTCATTAGTATATTCTCCATCTTTTCCTCATTGCTGCATTTTATTTATGTATTTATTTATGCATTTATTTAGCCAAGCTAAGTGGGTGATTTCTTCAGTGGAATTTTTCTTCTTACTGATTTTAAGATGTGTCCTTTCTGAGCCAATCATTTCTACCTCCTGTTCTGCTGGCTGGTTAGCACCACTCTTAAAATTTTTACTTTTATTGCTGTCAGTGACAGAGAATCTTGTGTGGCGTTTACATCACAAAAACAGGCCTTGTTTAAATAATACATGTGTATTTAAGGATCCAGTTGACAACTATGATTTTTTTAATAAGGTCCAAGCTTGGTTTTGTTTCGTACATAATGCCAGCATGTTATATTAAGATGCATTAGTAATCTTGAAATTAGATTTGAGTTTCATGTTTGCTTTGAACGGGGTCTCTGTATTTCAGTATAATATGCATTTGTCAAATATTACAAATTAGACTTGCTCAGTTTTTATTGGCTTATTTTTCACTGAATTCACTTATTCACTTATTTTTCACATTTTTGTTTATTTTTTATCACTGAAGAAGATTCTTTGTTCATCAGTGCATTTAGGCTTCTCTGTCTATACATGTTCTCAAACAACAAAAAAAAAGCCAGGCAATGGTTATTTAGTGAAACAGGATCTTTAAAGGAGAAGCAGGTTCTCCAAGTGAGAAATGCCTGCCAATACATGAGTTTGAGCCCCTGAGCTGTTCAGCATTTTGTAGCAAAGTCACAGCAGAGATATCATTTGAAGTATGACTTGACGTGCACTAAAACCCTGTTGTGTGGCTGCATAGATCTGCTATCTCTGTAAGTTCAGCAGGGATTTATCATAGTTGTAAGGAAAGGTTATGTTCGATCCAGCAGCCCTGCTGCTATTATCAGGAGCTGTTAAAAGCCCTGATGTTGCATGGATCTGTAGGCGGAAGCCTGCAGCAAATAGCAGCTCGTTTTCTTGCTGGAGCAGGCTGGGCTTTTCCTTTTAATGTCATTTAAAGGTCAGGAGGAGGACAACAGACACCAGCTTTCAAAGATAACAAAAGGGGAGATCTTTATAGAGATCTATCACTGTCTGCTTCTAGGAGGACTTGCCTTTCTTGTTTGTGTGCCTCCCCCACACGTTGGGATCTCTATGGCAGCATGAACATCTTTTAAAGGTGCCATCTGTTGTTGGTTGAGAGTCTGCTTTGGCTCCTTGGAGGGCTGTGGCAGCATGATAGCACCTCTGCAGAGGATGAAGTTAGTGAAACAAGATTGAAGGCTAAGATGTTATGGTCTTTGGGTTACGCTTAAACAGATGGACTAGAAAGAGGTTTTGATGAATTTTCTTTGAATATTCTTGAGGTAGTGGACTGACAAATGGCAGGTTTCACTTTAAAGCATGCCACCTTGGAGTTAGTTATAAATTCTTTAATTTCCCATGTGCTTGATGTGCTTGTGGCATGTAGCTCTAACAAGGCCTTACAGCAGATAATAAGCTACTGATCTTCCTTTTCCTCTGTGCTGTTGAAGTGCACCCGTGGTACTTTCCAGCACGTCTAAGTGTCTAGTCACAGCTTTGTTTAAGTAGAGAAACAGTGCCATAGGTCCTAAAGTGACCTGCAAAATCAACGTGCTGTGCAAGTATGCAGCAGTTCCAGACCAAAAGAAATTTTGCATGTTCGTAATAAATATGCTTTCAGGGAGGTGGAGGAATTGGCCACATGTAGGAGTATTTGTTATGTATACTGGTATACTGCAGATTATATGCACAGAAGGTTTAAAGTGTGGTGATTTTGGTGTTGTGGTTTTTTTGTTTTTTGAAGTCTCTTTAAGGGCAGCTCTTACTTAAAAGAATAAAAAATAGGAAGCTAGTTAGTATTTGGGAACTGTAATCCCCTTTGTTATTGTGGCAGAGAATCACTTTGAAGCAGACAAGGCATCTAAACAGCTTTTTAAGATTTTCAATTGGAATGCTGCATTCAGTTTCAGTCACCTCGTTATCAAAAATTGGCGGGAGTTCAGAGAAAAGTGACAAAAATTAAGGGACAAAGAGATTGATTCATGAGAAGATATAAATTATGCATATCTCAGCTAAGGCATGACTACGTAGGAGGATGTATGTGAAGGGTGCAAACATTGTTCAAGGGGGGATTATGTAGTCATGTATGCTGAAGTATAGCTAAGAATAGAGGGATGAAATTAGGAGAGAGAAAACAAGATGAATATCAAGGAAATATCCTTAGCAGTGATACACATTGAATCTGTGATGTAATCTGAGAGAACTGTGCTGCTTGAGGCTTTTAAATGAGACTGTATATAGCAGCAAATGTGCTGTAAGATGCTAGGTTTAAAGTGAGTGAAAACGGCTCTTCCTGAATGAGTCTGCTTAAATACTGTTCTGCTTTTGCTGAGTGTGCATTCACCTAACTCACAGGGCCATATTTTGTGAAAGGATTTTCTGAGTGCACTTTAACTGTAAGAACGAGTTTCAAGTTCAAGCACTGAGAATTTGAGAAAAAAATCATGGGTGGGGATGAGCAAGGTGGGAAAAAAAGAGCAGAACAGGAGGTAGATTAAACACTGTGCTGCAGTTCTGAGCTTGGATTGTTGGTTTATGAAACTTGAGCTAAACTGACTTTGTCATAATGGGAAGCAACAGGTATGTTTATGGTAGGCAGTGCTACCTTCCATACAATTTTGAGTGGGGCAAAAGCTGAGTATCTAGCAGCAATTGTGATGAGGGCTCTCATGAAAGAACAGGATTACTACAATTGAGAGTAGACTAAATCTCTGCTACTTCTAGTGAATCTTGCATGATTTAGAAATTTCATCTCTCTCTGCTTAAAGAGGCAAGGTATGTTTTATTGCCAAGTTACTTCCACATAGTCAGTGAAGTGATCAGCTGTTGAGTTGTGACCTGTTGTCCTTAATTACCTAAAGGCTATTCCACTGCCTAAGAGAATATCTGATGAAAGATCTTTCTCTTTTCACAGCAGCCAATCCCTTGCTTTGCTCTACTGCCCGATTCCACTGCAAAAATGGTCTTTGCATTGATAAAAGCTTCGTGTGCGACAGTCAAAATAACTGTCAAGACAACAGCGATGAGGAAAGCTGTGAAAGTCCTCAAGGTAGGAATGGGCTCTTTTTCTATTAAGCAGCATTATACTAACTCTAATTAATGCGTTATGGACATAGAAATTATGTTTCTGTTGTTGCCCTGTGTTGACTAGAGCTGTGGTTTCCTAATCTGCAGTTACTGAGAGTGAAACACGTAGTGTGCGTGCGCGCGTTCTGGTGTCGGTGCTCAGAAGGTTGGTTGCTCTCTTAATTAATTTAAAAAATCACTTTTGCTGGAAGTGCTTATGATCTGTGATCCAGTGCTCACTGAAGTTGCTAGGAATCCATTTAGTGACTCCTAGGAGAGATGGGTTGGACCTAAGAGATCAGTAATAAAGTTTCTATTTGAGGAAGTTTGGTGGTCTGTCCGTTTGCCAGATAGTAGGTCTGGGTAGGCTTAAAGCTATGCGACCTCTTTGCACTATTACTTTCTGCAGGGTAGTCTTCACTGTGTGACAAGTCTACAGTATATTCTACAGTATATATAGGGTACATATACAATATATATACAGTATTTTCCTAGCCTTCCCTGTTTCACTATTAAGTGAACAATATGAAGTCAGGGAGGAAATTTTTATTACTGTTTGAAAACTGTGTATGAATTTTTTGAGACTTTCAAAACACCATTTCTGTATTTTTTTTTTTTCTTTTCAACTTTTTCTGTAACTACATACAGCATTTCTTACATTTGGTTTTTGTAACTTAATACCATGGTATTTTATAAAATGAATGACTTGGCGTTGACAAGTGATGTGTATCAGGCATCATCTTCTAAACCTTTTCATGTCTGAGTTGCTACTGAGAGTCCAGAGCAGGAAAAGATGGAAGTCTCGCTGGGTGTTTGCTGGGAAATTGCAGTGTGCTTGGGCCCACAGAGAACAGAGCACATGAAGAGAGAGATAAAGGATGGTATGAAAGAAGATGAAATCTGAGAAATTGAAGGAGAATGACTTCAATATTTAGCTGTTCTGATGATTTAGCCCTTCGTGAAAGAGAAAGTAATTCTGAGCTCAACATGGTGATAAATATTCTTGACAACTCATAAGGGAAGAGCGAAAACAAGCAGCAGCAATGTCAACAAAAAAGAGTTTACAGCAGTGGTATGTGATGATGTGTTCTGTGAGCTCTTTCCTTTGGCTGAAGATGTAAAAGCTGAACGGGTCATCCTCTTACTTGCCAGGGCTGTGTCACGTCCTGGGAACATAAATCTGCCTGGATGAAGCCCCAGAGAGGGAGCTGGCCTGCTCTGGTGTTGTGGTTGTCTTGGGGAAGAAGAAGAAAAAGGACCTTTTGAGGGTCTGGTGCTCTGTATTGCTGCTACAGTAGTGCTGCTGTGTTGTAGAGTGAATTGTTTTTCACTACAGGTCTAAGGCAGCCCAGTAAGATTAATGCATGTGGTAAGTTTTTTTTTTTGTTGGTTTTTTTTTTGACATCTGAAGCTTAAAGCAGCAGTGTTCTTTTCCAAGGTTGGGATGGCTGCTTCCTCTGCAGATTAATTGGCTGGATTGCCTCCAGGTTGTTTGTTGTCATGACAATCTGCTTTTGGAAGTGACTGTCAGGCTCAGGAGAAGAAAAGAGCTGTATTTCATGAAGCTGTTACTTTGTCTTGATCTTTGGTCCTTCTGGAAAAGTCATGTTATTATGAGGTGTTAAGCAGAGTAGTTCTGCCTCTTTCTGTGCATGAAAAAGCCCCAGACATGGAGAAAGGAACTCTCTTTTATTAGATTAGAGCAGCAAGGATCTGTTTTTATGAATATAAATATGTGCTTAAAAAAAAACCAAAAAACAAGTCCAAGTCCAAGATTGGGAATAAGGAGTGAAATTCTGATTGTGGTGAGTGCGTGTGATTGTCCTGTGGCAGTTCAAGAGCTTCTCTGAATTGCCATGTCCCCATCTGTCAATGGGTGATGCTTGCATACCTGTCTTTCCAAGTGAGGATTAAACAGTGTAATGTGCTCAGCTCCTCATCAGAATGTAAATGAAGAGTCCCTCTGGAGTTTGCATTATGGGTATGTCAGTCCTGGCTCCCAAACACCAGCAAAAAAAACCACCTTTGTATTAATTGAGATTCAGACGCTACAGTGGACAGAGCCTTTCATTTCTTACAATTCTTTATATAGCAGATCTAATTAGCGTAATTATGATGAATTTTGTATTAACACAGCATCCAACAATCCTGGTCATTAACTAGAACTCAAGTGTTCTTGGGTACTTAGGACAGAGTAGAGTGCATCTGTAGGGCATTATACAATCAAGATAGAGGATTTTCTTTCCTCCAGCCATGTCGTCATGTCAAGAGTAGTTGTTTTAATTCAGTGTAATTGAGTTCAGTCTGACACAGGAGATTGCCCTTGTGTGCTATTTCCCTACATAAAAAAATAGTTGATTTAGCAATCACTAAACTTCTGAACCTCTCCCTGTAGTATGATATTGTCATTATCACCGTTTAACAGACGGGGAAGAAAAGGCACAGATCAGCTAAACAAAATGATCCCGGAGTAACATCCTGGCTGGTAGGGGTAGAACTTCATCTATGCTTGTCTGCTTCAGGTGAATGTTGTGAGACTTAATCAATGTTTGCAAACTGTTTTGAGATACTAAGATAACATGTGGAATAGAAGTGTGAATTATTAATTGGTACTTTGCTCTCCTTCTGCTCTTGTGTATACTGACAAGCTTTTTAAATTAACACCTCTTCCTACTCCTCCATGAACTTCAAAGGCCTCCTTTATCCTGCTGTCATTACAGAAAGACTGCAGTAGCAAATCTCTTTGGTTTGTGTCAGACACTCCTTCATGCATAAAGGTCCTTTTGATCAAGAATGGTCACTCTACAGACTAGGAAAAGAGAATGTGACCTCCTGCAAAATGTATTGACCTGGCTTTGACAAGAGGCATATCCTTGACAAATAGTAGCTTTGCTAGAACACTGTGTTTTGCAATGAACCTGAAGTCATGAGTTTGTAAAGATTCATTTTTGTCATAAATAGGAGTAAGTACATTTGGGGATGAGGCAGGAGTCAAGTGCCACAAAATTTAGGTACAAAAATGGGAGGAAGGTCCCATTTTCTGAAAGCAAGTTCCTGCTCTTTTTTCCCATAGCACTTGTAACCCAGCGTTGAATATCTTATTAAGGTTTCTGTGTCATGAGGAAAGGGACATTATAAAAGCTTAGACCACAACAGTCTGAAAGCAAGTCAAATAATTCTATTCTTGTTCCCAACAGTGATTATTTGTAGGCCTTTTAGGTGCTATGGTAATCCTTGAAGCTGTTCCTTTAATCTGTCCCCAGCTACATTCTGATGATCTTTGGTTTCCAGCGCTGAAGTGGAATGGCCAGACTTTTCCCTAGCTTTAGTCTCTTATATTTATCCAGATGACCACTTGAGATAAGTCTGGATGGTGGGTATAACTACTTGCATTATCCACACTGTTACATATATGTAGCTCATGCAGAATTGCTCTTTCTAGGGCTTTGTTCTAGTTCCAGGAAAGTACCTCCCACCCATCTGCTTTTTTCCTCTGATTGCCTGGGGTATCTGCCACGTGTTGTGTTACATTATGGTGGTAACCTTTCCAAGCAGCACCACTGGCCTGCCAGTCATGGGGGAATTTCCTGCTCTGACAACAGTCCACTGATTCCTTGTTCTTAATATTTTTCAGCAGCTGTGTAAATTTTTTTTCACCTCTAGCACTGTACTTAATTTATTTCCTTAATTGCTTTTTATCTAAATGTATTTTTACAGAGTTTCTTCCTTCAGCTTATCCTCCATTTTGTGCTTTTTAGTCTAGAAAGATTTACCACCAACAAAGCATACTGGCTGTTCTAATTCAAACTCCTCTGCCTTTCATGGCCCTTCTTTTCTTTCCCACTAAGATTGCTAAAATCCTTTATTAGCTTTAGCCACGTTGCCTAGGAAAAGAGTATTACTGCTGCAGGTCTGTATTCACGCTGGCCGAGCTGGCTTCAGTAATGTTCCAGTTGTCACCCTGCAGTTGTTAGTAAACAGTCCCACTGCTGTCAAGTTACATGTTCTGCATGTGTCCTGAAGCTGATTGCTGTTCTGAATTTCTACAGTGCAATGGCCACAGCTGCACGTATGGATACTTCATGTTTACTTAGTTTTCATTGATTTTTTTATTAGGATTTTGATATCCTGCAGTATTCTAAAACAAATTTGGAAGCATACATGACTTTCAGCTGATCTTTTTTTTTCTATAGCATATATAAATTGCTTGTATGAAAACAGGCACCATATTGAATCATTGAAAAATCTGACCCTGTGTCAAACAAACTGACAGCCAAGTGGTACGGACATACTCTAAATTTCAGTGAAATATCACAGTACCTGATTTATAAAGCACAAAGAGCTCCCAGAAGGTTCCACTCCATGTGGAGCTTACAGTCAGCCCTTTGCATGTGGCAAACTGAAATTCTGAAATTCCCAAGTGCTCTGATATCACTTATACTTCCCTAAGCCTTGTAGTCTGAGCCTGGCTGCGCACGTTTCAAGTCTCTTTGACTCATTATTGACTCAGTCAGTAAGCTGAAGCTCCACTGGCAATTATTGTGCATCATCTTAGCCCAATTCAGCCTACAGCTGGAACGTAATACTCAGAGGCAGACTGAACAGAAGCAGGAACTCAAGAAAGGATACAAATAAAACGTCACTGAATGTTTCGTTAAAAGGAGGCTATGCCTGGGTGAATGTAGCTCCCTAATAGCTTTGTTTTCATTACAACACTTGCTAGATGGAGGTGTTTCTGTCACCTATGAATTGCTTCTTTTCTCCATTCCTATGTTCTCTGATCAATCTCAGGATTTTTTCCCTATTTTGACTTCATAAGGGTTTTTTTTCAAGAGGCAAAGCGATGCATCTGCGTAGAGACTAAAAGTTAAGATGGACAGCTGGTACAGGTATGTATGCAGCTATAGCATAGTGCCAGATAAGCAGTGACTTCAGGTCTCCAGATGAAAAAGAAATTAGCTTAAAAGAGTGTTGGTGCATCTG